GGATTGCTTCTTAAATTATATAGTTGTCCAACCACTAAGCTGAACACCTGAAATATAATAAAGAATGCCAACTGTAATTGAAAAATTAAAAAGGGGAAGGGGAATAAGAAATTCAAATTTTCAGATATAAAACAAATAAGTCATGGGGATGTAATGTACAGCATAAGAAATATTCTCAATAATATTGTAATAGCGTGGTACAGTGTCAGATGGTTGCTGAACTTATCATGGTGACCACTCATTAGGTACACAACTGTGAATAGCTATGGTGTACACCTAAAACTAATATATTGTATATTAGCTATATTTTAATAAAAATCTTAAAATAAAATAGCACAAGAGTAACTGAAAAATAAAAGGGTCATGGTGGCTGCAGAGCAAAGAAAAACACATATGATTTTTACTTGGGCCAAGAGTGCTATTTTAAAGTCAGGTGCTTTACATGTTCTCTCATTTATCCTATGAAATGGCTATATTATTTCATCAGCTCAAGTTTACAGAGGGAACTGAGGCACAGAGAGATTAGATAACTTGCCCAAATCTACTTAATAGCAATGCAAATATTTTTCCCTCTTTATCATCCCCAAAATACAATAAAGCACACAAACTGGGGGGAAACAACTAAAATTAGCAAATCAAACTCATTGTGGAGAAAAAAAAAAAAAAAGGAGTCAAACCAGTTCTTACTGAACAGTCGGGCAATAGACTAAAATTGTCACTTTTCAACTAGTTGTTTTCATGTCATAAGATGTAACCACAATGAAATGTTTTGTTAACAGGAGATAAGTTCTCATTTTAAGAAACTGCACGTATGTAGTTAAGTTTGAGCTTAAAGAAACTAAAAATACTTGGTGAAAGTAATATGAATAATGGTTAAAAATAAAAACAGACTTTGCTACAGTTTCCAAAATTGCCATTAAAACTATATAGTATTTTTATAATCAGAAAAGAAACGAATAAAAAGACACAAACTAACAAAATAAGCTAGTAAATGAGAAACAACCTAATTAAAAAATGGGTAAAGGACTTAAATAGACATTTCTCAAAAGAAAACATACAAATGACCAATAAGTACACAAAAAGAACCTCAACATCTTTACTCATCAAATAAATGCAAATCAAAACCACAATGAGATACTTACTATTTATACCCACTAGGATGGCTAGAATGAAAAAGCTATATAATAACAAATGTAGGTGACGATGTGGAGAAATTAGAATCCTCATACACTGCTGTAGGAACGTAAAACACTGCAGCCGACAGTCTAGCAGTTCATTAAGCAAAGAGTTACCATATGAGCCAGCAATTCCACTCCTAGGTATATAACCCCCCAAAAATTGAAAACACATCCACATAAATGTTTATAGCAGCATTATTTAAAATAGCCAAGAGGTGGAAACCCAAATGCCCTTCAATGATGAATAGATAATCAAAATGTAGCATATACACACAATGGAGTATTATTCAGACATAAAAGGGAATGAAGTACTGATACATGCTACAACGTGGATGAACCTTGAAAACATTACATTAAGTGAAAGAAGCCAGTCACAAAAGAGAACATACTACATGACTCCATTCATATGCAAGTCCAGAATAAGGACATCTATAGAGACAGAAAGCACATTAGTGGTTCCTGAGTGGTGCAGGTGGGGTCGGGGGTAAGGTGATGGCAGCTAAAGGGCACTTGGTTTCTTTCTGAGGTGATGACAATGTCCTAAAATTAACGGGGTTCTACATATCTGTGAATATACTAAAAGCCACTGAATTGTACAGCTGAAAGGAATTAATTGTATGGTATCTGAATTATATATATCTCAATAAAGCTGTTTAAAAAAAAATCTCCAAAATCAATATGAAAATATTCTCAACTCATAATTAAAGAAATGTAACTCCAAACAGTGAGACTTTATTACTCACATCTCAGATTGGCAAATATTAAAATGTTTGGTATTTCCCTGTCAAGTGCTGTCAAGGCTGTAGGCAACGGGTACCTTTAGTAAACTACTACTGGGAGTAACCTAGTGTAATCTTCTTGGTAGAAAATTTAGCAATATGTCACCAATTAAAATACATATACCATTGAATCAGCAAGTCCACCATTAGTAAAGAGCACCACAGGTACCCTGGCAGAAGCATACCAAAACTGACCAGGGAGGACGCTCACTGCAGCACTGCTTGAAATAGCAAAGACTGTAAATAACCTAAATGTCCATGAATAGGGAAATGGGTGAATGAGTTATGTTGCATCCGTACCATGGAATGCCATGTAGCCATTATGAAGGATGAGGTGTGAGGCTAACTAGGTAGAGAACAGTGTGCTTAGCATTATCCATTTATAACAAAAAGCACATATACTATATACGGATTATGTTGGGGAAGGTTCCATGTGAAACTGGTAACCATTTCTGGCTCGAGACACTATATGAATGGTGGCTCCAAGTGAGATAAGAAATACAACAGCAGATCTTCAGGTGGAAATCATGAGTCTGGCTTTTTTAACTGTGCAAGTACATTTGGGAAAAGGACTGCATGGAGCTCAATGGAGAAAGGAAGACGGGTATTATGTATTTTACTATTTTCATGTACATACTGTGTAGACCTTTCTATTGTGTATAGTTTTATTTTACAATAAATTTTAAACAAAGCTACATATTAAGAAAAAAAAAACCTGACAAGCAAAAAGATGAATTGCCAAACAGTTAATGTCTGATATTAATTACTGTTTAACTATAATCAGTACCCTCAGGCAAAGTCTCTGCCTAAGAACATTATACATGAGGGAAAGTTATTCTGAGAAATCTTTATGTACCTATTACTCATTAAGATGAGGTAAGTCTGAATTTTAGTTTCACAGAAGTCATGCAAGTCCAGAGCTAGCCTGCCAGCTTTCTGTGAAAAAGGAGTATTTAATGGAAAAGATAACAAAAAGAAGTGCCATCTATTCAATCCCAGTTGAGTGCATTCTCCTATTCAAACTAGAACTCAGATTCAACAAGCGCCCACTGTGTCCCCAATGTGTGCCAGGCCCTTCACAGGCTTTATAGAAAGAAGAGGAACCAAGAGTCAGGTAGCTGGCTTTTCTGCCCTAGGGCTACTTTTCTGGAGGGAGGTTGGGGCGGCTATGTTTTATCTTCTATACCATCTTTTGTTTTACCTGCTTTTGAAAAGAAAAATGTGTTTTAAAAATGCTTCAAACTTTAATTTTTCTTTTATTTCTGTTGCTGTTTTGTATTTCTCAAGAGTTTGTGGGACTTTTGCATGTTTTCTCAGTTCACATACTTCCCCTCACTGTTTCTCTCTCCTAAACCCCATTCATCATGACCTCCTCTCCCACCCGCCTCCACAAACCCAAGCCAACATTCACAATTTCCTGGGTTTTCCCAGAATTTATACAACAGGCTGATTACTCAGCCTTATATCTGTAACCCTTAAAATGATTTAAAATGTCAAATGTTCTTGTTTATAGTTCACATCATAGTAAAGTACAAGAGCAATTCTTGGTCTGAATTGGAACCATCTTGTTGGGCTCCTAATTACAACTTCAGGAGAGAGGCATACTTCAGGACAGAAAACACCAGGGCAGTTCCATTTTATTATTATACTTGCTGTCTTGGGGATGCAGAGAATATGCAGGTGCATAGTGGTTAACGAAGTTGCCAGAATCCACATTTCGGCCTCCTCTTCTGGACCCCACTCTACTATGTTTTTGATGTCTCAGAATATAACTTTTATATCTTAAATACTGTATTTCTGTTTCTTAATTTCCTTTATGTATATATATATATACTGTAATAACGTAACTGAAGTCTAGACCCACCATTGCGTGCCAGCCACAGTGGCCTGTCTGTGCTCCTTGGACACAAGAGGCCCACTTCAGTTTCAGGGCACCTGCATCAATTATTCCTCTGCCTAGAATGCTCTTCCCTCCAGTATCTGTAGGGCTGGCTCCTTCCTGTCAGTCAGGTCTCAGCTCAGATGACCTCCGCCTCAGAGAGGTCTTCCCTGACCACCCAATCAGAAGCAGCCCTTCCCTAGTCATTCTCTACCACATCCCCATATACCAGGGGTGCGAAAACAATGTATACTCGTACACATTTTAAGAGATATTATCTATGCTCAAGCAGTTTGCTGTAATCAAAAGTGTGTGGACACTTTGAGCACCTCTGATAATTGCAGAAGTCAAATGTGACTTGTATTCATCTTTTGTTATCGGTATATATTATTACAATTAATACAGTTTTTCCTTTCTTAAAATGTATATACATTTTTTGGCACCCTCTGTATACTTAATATACATTTATATTTAAACCCTGTTTAAAATCACGAAGGTACCAGTCAACTCTGAAGAATAAAGACAGTAAGAAGATAACCTAAATGCTGTTTACAAGAAACATGCCCTAATGGTTTACTACTGATATTTATGACATCAACCTGGTTGTTATATTTTTCCATGCTACTGAACTCAGAATTCCAAGGAAAAAAATCTATTTGTTCCAAACTAAAGCACAGGGAAAATGTCTCACCAGTTGTTTCAACAAGAAAGCAAGATGGTGGGGTTGAAGTCTCACTGATGGTTGAAATGTAAGCAGGGTCTACTTAGAGTGTGCCAAGGCAAATTAAGGCTGCCATAGCTGACCAGCTTAGAGTGACTTGCTTCACCAGCAGACTTATGTATTCATGTTTCATATTTCACATCTATAGGCAGAGTGCAAGACCATTATATCTAAAAATGTGCTTCAAAACTCAGTATGAAATTCTAATGTGCTTTCAGTTTTAGAATTTATTCACATCTTTGCTAAACTAAGACTGTTCATCCAGTGGACACTCATTTATTGACGCCTACTAAGGTCAGACCTTGAGGAGAGCTTTAGGGATTCATGAATGAATAACTGATGGTTAAAACAGGTCAGTATACCAGCTTTCATGTACTTTCCGGGCTGACAGTACTTTATGTATCCTAGACAGATGAAGATCCATTTCTTTTTTTAAAACTCACCTGTTGTTTCAGCAGTGAGGTTTGCAAGTAGTACGGAAGGAGTTCTGCTTGAGGATCCTATAAAAACAAATAAATACCCTGTGATCAAAGCACATTTAATATTTAACTAAGAACTCTCGCAATATATTGTGGTGGTGATATGGGGGAGGGTCGACTATTCCACAGGAAGTTCTACTTTTGCCACCGTTGCTATGAAACATAAAACTGTCAGTAAATCTGGAACTGTATTATTGGATTTTTCAAGACAGAAAACATATAGCTTATGTAACAAACTTACACAGTATTTACTATGTGCCAGCCACTGGCTAATTATACAATAGCTTTGTCAAAGTTCTTTCACCCCCAAGAGGTGAATGGGTGAGAGAGAGACTGATTTCTGCTACAGCAACCCTGCTCTTCTGAGTGGAGTGGACCCTCATGGGAGGGCCCCTAGGTCTTGTACCACCAACACCCCTAAATTCTCACAATGGAGAGAAGATGAACTTCATACAATGGAGAGAAGATGAATTCACTTTTAATTGCAAGCCTTCTCAGTATGACTCTTAATTTTAATTAGTACCTTAAGATTTGGAAAAGGTTTCGATAAATTCTATGCCCCAATTAAGCAATTTTTCAGTTGGTTTATTTACCTTGGGTCCTTGCATAATGGAAGATTAAATACACATACCACATGGGAAGAGAGCAAGTGTATGATCATGTACTTTTCACAAAGATAGCCCTCCCTCACCATAAAAAAAACAAAAACAAAACATACATACATACATACACACACACACACACACATACACACACACACCCAGAGTACAAAAAACAATAACAACTTTGAAGGATCTATCTTTACTGCGTGTGCAAATGTTTTCCTCTTGATGGAACTATAATCCATTTATCACAAAAGGATCTGGTGTGAAGATTAAACTTGAAACAAGATCAAGGTCAGTAGACTATACTATTTAGCAGCAGTTATCAAATAAATGCTTATGAAGAGTTTAGTAGATGCTAGGCTTCCTGGGGAGTATGTAACTTGCATTAACTCATCAATCTAACCTTCCCAGCAATTCTGAGACATGAATATTGTTTTGCAGTGACAGGAACTGCGCTCCCAGAGAAGGCCACCCAGCTAGTTAGTGGCCAAGTCTGGATCTGCACCAGGCTGTTTGATTCCAAAGCCCATACATGTGAGTGCCAAAATGGAACTATTGATTTTCTACTATAAACCTGCTTCTCCCCCAGTCTTCCCAGTTGTTGCATTACCAGCTTTTCAACCTCTAAACCAAGAAAGAGGTCATCCTTTGATTCCCACCTCTTCCTCACTCCACCACCTAATCCATTCGCAAGTGATTTCAATCCCACTCCCCTCCCCCCAAATAGATCTAGAATCCGTGCACTTATCTCCACACCACACACCATCATCTTTTGCTTGGACTACTACTGCAAGAGTCTCCTGTTTTTATCTCCCTGCTACTGTCACTCTTATGAGGGATGATTTGCTGGCTACCTATTTTTTATTTTTTTGCTTGAGTAAGACAGCCTCTTTCTAGCTTTACTAACTTTTCTTCTTTTTTCAATACTTATGAAGCTCCTGCTGTGGGCAGGCACTGCTTTTATATCCTAAGAGGCAAAGAATGTCATAGACAAACCTAAGTATACGGAGTTTGATGCTTTACTTGACAGAAAGACCAAGTATTGAATTGTATAATGCACTGAATGGAAAAACAAAGTTAAATTCATGAAGTGGCATAGACTCACTTAGGATTAATTTCTTTTCCTAACTGGGTACCCATTATGGTGGCTTTCTGAAGCCTGGGACTCACTTTAGCAAGTTCCTGTGATGTAGAATGTCATATTCTCCCTCACCCGCAACCAGTCTGAGAACAGTTTATGGCTTGCTGGAGATTTGAGATGTAATCAAAAGAGCCAAAAGTGACCAACTGCTGGCAACCTGTATGAACTCTTGAATATAGCATTTCTTAAACCACCTTAATCCTTGGACTTTTTGGTTGAAGAGTCAGGAAAGCCCCTTCTTTCCCCAAAGGTTATTCAAGGTGGATTTCTGTCACTTGCCACGAGGAGTCCTACGTATCAGCCTCCCCTTCTCCCTTATGTTTCCTATTGCACTACCACAATCTATCCTGTTTGCTGACTTGTTCATAGTCTCATTCTCCTCCAACTGAGGATATTTACAAAACTATGCAACAGACTGTAAAGGATATCTTTAAAGAACTTCAATAATGTTTTTTTATTTTCTCCCACAATATTCTGGGCAATGGCAGTATTGTGGACTTAAGCATTATCTCCTTGAAAAGCCAACATCACCTAATGTGGCTTAGAGGCAAAACGGTGAATTGAGTTTGGATTCTGGTCTCTGAAATCAAACATGTATTAGATGTTTTTGAATAAGTTAGGTAATTTCCAAGCCTCAGTTTCCTTATAAAATGGGGACAATACTGTGAGGATCCAATGGGATGTGGTATGGACCTTAATTAGCATAGTGTGAAGTACACATGAAAAGTGCCTAGTGAAAATTAGCTACAGAAGCTGTAGTATGATTGTTAAAAAATCACTGTACTTCATGACACTTTATACAGATTATACCCTATATATGAAGACTAGGGCATTTACTTGCATTTTTGAGCAATCTTCCACAGCACCTTCTTTTACACTAGTTTCAAGGTGACACTAGAGTCTGTAGAAATGGATTCCAGCTTATGTTGATTATACTAGTTCATGAAACGAAGGTTTTTGTATAGTAGAGCATTCTAAGTTTTCAACCAACACTAACTCTGGTGAGACATTAAGTAGTAAACAGAACAGTCGAACAATAAGTATTAAAATAGGGCCAAAAAAATCTGTTAGAGGAGGGCAAAAGAGAGAAAAGCAAGGACACTCAGTTTCTCTAATCAGTAATTCATCAGTGAAATACAAAGGTTTACTTTCACAAAGTAAATAAAAAATGGAGATCTCGCCCCATAAATATTGGTATAAAATTAGCACTAAGATATACAGAGAGTGCCAAAAAATGTATACACCTTTTAGGAAAGGAAAAAAACTATTAAAATTGTAATAATATATACCGATAACAAAAGATGAATACAAGTCATATGTATACATTTTTTTGGCACCTCCAGTATTGTTTCATTCCAGATTGTTCACTTTTACAAAACATCACATAATATTGAAGATATGATGGACATGATTTATTGATCCTCCTTTTCTTAAATAATCTCAAAATTAGACCTGCAAAGCCAGTTTGTCACATGCACAATTTAGCCAACAAAAAATTCATTTAGCAAAACAAACAAAAATTGTTATTGTCTCACCAGATTATTCTAGCAAAAGCAGGTGTTGTGCCTGAACCATCTGGTTTTGCAAACTGCTGTCTTTATCACTTGCTGGATAAAACTAATCTAAGGCTAAATACACAGCAGTTGGATAGAATTTAAATCTATGAAAAACTTGAATCACTTAAAGCATCTTATCCTACTTTACTGATCACTACCCAGTGACCTGCTTTTGTTTACACAGAGAAAATGGAATTTAAACAAATCCCAGCTTCCTTGCCTTACCCAAAAAGGACTTTTTAAAAAGTCCCCAAAGGGCCAAGGGCCTAACGGGAAATCCCCTTCCCTCAAGACAAGTTTCAAAATCGCTTTATGACTTTATTGACGACGTGGTGGGCTCCTGATGCTCGTCAGCTGCGATTTTCCGGCTGCACAGCTGTTGCGCGCCTCGGCGGGTTTAAGGCACACACACGAGGGGCAGGAGGCGCCCTTCCACCCGGCATAAGCCTCACCTGCGCCCGGGAGGACTGGGCGCACGTTCCCAAAGCTCCCAACCAGCTACATCAGCCCCCAAGTCTTAACTTGAAGCATCTGGGCACCTTAAGAGTATAAATAATGTGTTTGATGCTATACAACTGGACGATAAAAGCGCGGGGGAGACTCCTGAAAGATTCTCCAATGAACTGGTAGACATGTTTCCGCAGGAACCGGTAGACATATTTTTCAATCCATCTCATCTTGTTTACAAAAGGAAGCCTTAGGTATACTAACCTCCCACGAGACATTAACTTCAGGAAAAGGCTGAAACAACTAACTCGAGCCCTCCGCTGAAGGCCCGTCCTTTGGGTAACTCAACAGGTTATACGCACTCCTCCAGGCCTGCGAGCGCCGCGTGCAGACAAACAGAGGGGAAGGACCGGACAACTTCTTCAGCAGGCGGCTCTCGGGCAGGTGGGAGACCAGCCGGAGGCTCAGTTTCCCCTAGCCGCATCTGGTCACCTCCAGGTTGGCCCCCTGCGTTCGGCCTAAGACACGCAGAACTTTCCTCACCACCAGATCCCCACTTGGAAACTCCCGCTGGGCAGCGCGCTTCCTCCCAGAACAGGGGTGGGCGACTCCCGCAGCCACTCACCCTCCGAGGCATCGCTGTCCACGGCGACCTTCAGCAGCGCTAGCACCAGCAGCGCCCCCACGATGAAAAAGGCCCAGCCACCTCGCGCGCCGAGTCCCATTGTTCTGAGCGCAGGATGCGGCGGCCTCGTGGGTTTCCAACCGAGGTGGCGGCTGCGCCGGCGAGAGCGGCCCTTCCGCGCACCCGAGCCCCCCGGGAGTCCCTTCCGCCGCTCACGCCTCCCCTCCAGCCACCTGCCCCCAATGACCAAATAGGGTGCGAACGCCGGGCCAGGAGCAGGCGTCGCGCACCGAGCCGTGGCGGCGGGACGGGGCGAGGCCGGCACGCGGGGGCGGGGCTTGCGAGTCTTGGCGCCGCGACTCTGCTCCCCGCCTCCCCCTGCGAGGCGCGCCTGCGAGCCCAGAACGCTCGAGCAGTTTCCTTTCTTTTCGGAAATGGCAGGGTGGGTTGTTGTTTTTTTTTGTTTTTTTCTCTCGGATAAAAGCGAGCACCAGTGCCTCTCCGGATACTGACACGCCGGGCTTTGCTGGGCCCGGAAGGATGTCTTTAAAGAGTAGCTTTAGGATAGGATACGGGAGTGAGTGCAGCTCAGAGTGAGAGGGGAAAGTGGCAGGCGAGGGCAGCAAAACGGGGAGGTTGAAGGAGAGAAACTCAGAGTGGATGGGATTCCTTCTGGGGGGGTCTTGAGCCATTAGCGCTTTCCTTTTAAGGGAACCATCCTAAATTGCGGGAGGAGAGGGGGGGAAGAGTGGTGATGGACAAATTCATTGTTTAAGTTCATACGTAAAACATCCATAATCTGTATACCCCAAATTGTTCCTCATCGTCTTCCACAGGTCCCCTACATCTCTGAATAAAGATACATTCTATGCAGAAAGAGATTAGTGGAGCCGCAGGGATAGAGGGGAACAAGAAGAGGTGGTAGCGTTTCACAAGCATGTATAGCCACCAATGCTGAGGTTGCACAAATCTTAGTCCCTTCTCTCCTTGGTGTCTGCTGTCCCAGTTCAGATGGAATAACCTGTTTTGAATAGTTTTTGGCTAAGTCCCTCTTCAGCCCTTGGAGCCAATTCTACTCACCTGTCTTGACTTGCAATGCTTCTCAAGCCTGCATCTTGTTTCCTCCAAGACCTCTGAAGTGATCTGCAGCGACCTGGCTGAAGCAGGAGAAATACAAAGATCAAGTCCTGGTTTGGGTAAGAAACACTCAGCTAAGATGGAACAAAAGGATCCCGAGCACTTAAAACCACAGTGAATCTCCCACCTGCAAAGCACTAAACGGTGCAGATCTTTGGCATCTGATCCATATTTTATGACATAAAGGCAGTATTGCAGTTAAATTCCCAAAAATATGTTTCTGATCTCAGGTAAGTCTATCAATATGGAGATGAATTCTCATAGAGATTAACTCAGGCAATCTGTCCTAAACATACAGACTTCCATCTGTTGATCCAACCAAACCTGCAAACACTCCTAGGCATCCACTGTGGGCAAAAATCAAGCACTGCCCATTTAGTTTTTGGTTACTCTATTTAATACAGGAATTTGGTTTAGGAATAAATTGCTCTGGTGACTGCTTACCCTACTGTCCAAGCATTTCAGAATCTAGGCTCAACCGGTCTTTCCAGCCTTGGTTTGGCTGGACACGGACAACAGTGCTTTCTGGTTCCTAGTATTTGCATTCACTCTTCCCTCTTTTTGAAATGCCCTCCTCCTCTTCCATTCTCTTCACCAACCCACATCTAACCCTTTAAGGTTCAATGTACATCTACTTGGGAATCGGGTGGAATATGAGATGACTCCAGAAGTGAAATGAGAAAGTATGGAAGACACAAGATGTCTGCTTAACAGTTTCTCCTGGGACTGACCTTGATGGAGACACATGCAGATCTTCTTTGCTGCCTGGTTTCCCTACCTTAGATATGAGTGGGTGTGCCTAGCTTTGCTTTGATAATAATAGCACAGAACTGTGGGTTGGCCATTTTCTCTCTAATCTGAGGAGAGGGGAAAAGGGCAAGGAACTGTGTCCTTTCTGCCCTCTTAGAAACTCCTATGAAAGATCTGGACTCCCTGGGGGAACATCTAGTCCCAGTTTTGATTCAGGCTCTGCCCCCATCACTGCCCAACATTTTACTTTGGTGACGAGAGGTTTAAAGAACAGCATGGAAGCCCTCGGCAGTCTAGTTCTCCCCTACTTTTCCAGCCTTGTGTCTAGATCCTTCTCTGTAACCTCACAAGGCTACTCAAAGTTCTGCACATATGCCAGGACCTTCCATGCCCCTGTGTCTTTATTCCTGCTCTTGCCTTTGTCCAAGAGGCTTTGGATCTCTTCTCCTGGGCAATTTTCACTCATCTCTCAAGATTCCCCTCTTATATCACTTTCCCCCTAAACATCTGAGCAGATTTCAGTGCTCCGATCCCTCTGATCCTCTGATCAGGTTGGTCTCCCTGCTTCTACCCTTTTCCCCTCTAATCTGTTCTTCACACAGCAGCCAGTGTGACCCTTTTAAAAATATAAGTCAGATCATGCCACTTCCCTGCCACCTTTCCTTGTCCAAAATCATGGCCTGCAAGGGCCTACGTGACACAGTCCTTGGCTGCTCTTCCAATTTTATTTTCTACCTTCTTTCTCCCTTCACTTACTCAGTTCCAGCCTCCTTGTAGGTTTTTAGAAATGCCAAATCGGCTCCTATTCCAGAGACTTTGCTTGCTGCTCCCTCATATCCTTTGGGCCTCTGCTCATCTCCGAAAAGCCTTCCCTGAATACCCTACCTCACAGCTTTATTTGTCTTTGTAGCATCTAGTGCTGTCCATCATTATGCTCATTTATGTTTATTGTTTGTCTTTCCTACAAGGATATAAGTTTCATAAGAATAAAAGACTATGTCTGAATGCGTACCTCTGGCTTAGCTCTTGTCACATATTGCTATAGGACAGTGGACAGTTTTATTTATCAATATCCATCATCTTTTGAAGAGATTTACTTTATTTAGAACTCAAAGTCCAGACTCCTTTGCAATTGGGCTCCAAAATGTGACTGAGGCTCTGATGATCAGGCTCATTCATGTGAAACTTAAATCCAGGTATGAGCAGCCAGTGGCAACAGGCTCTGTGTGGAGCTTCCAGTTTTGTTGATATAAATAGCAGCAGAGGTGGCTGGCTTTGTTGGCAGCAGTAGCAGCAACAGCAGTTTCTCAGTGGTTGCAAGATTGAGTTGCTGAAGCAAAAGTGGCGTCGGTAGGGAGCTGCAAAGGAGACAGTTTCCTCACTTGTCTAGTTCTATAGTGGTTTTTTGTATTATCCCTGGAGGCTTAGCTTTAGTCATGATTCTCTACACCTTCCAACAATTCTGAGAGCTACCCAATATCTTCAACATACTCCTTTTCTGCTACATCAGCAAGAGTCAGATTTTCTCATAACTAAAGACCCTGACTTCATACAGCTGATTATGTCTTTTTCCCCCAGGAGGCTATAATCTCCATTCAATGATATACCATTTAGTGAATGTTTACTATGTGATGGACAACATCCTCACATTTTCCAGTCTAGTGGCAAGACAGATACATATATAGTTACAGTAGAGTATGATAGATGCTAAGATGTGATAATGGGAATGCACGCATTGGAGCCAGGTCTATGTCTTCATCTTTGTACATAAGGAACTAACACACTTTCCATCATATAGGAAGAATTTTCTATAAATTTTGCATGGAGATAAACAGAACAGCAAAACTCTGGTACTCTCCTTCATTAATGATGTTCTTCTTTCATCCATCCTGTATTTCTCATATTTCTGTGTCTGACTTAGGATAACCTGAGGGTGGACCAGATGTTGGAACCATCATTCATTCATTCATTCATTCAGTCAATAGCCAAAAATTTATTGAACACATAGCATATACCAGAAATTATGCTAGGTGCTGGGAAATAACAGTGAATAACACAGCTCTACCTGCCTCATAACATGACAGACCCCCAGTGAGTGTTTTAAAAGTGAGTTAGTTTCTAGAGAGTAATGCCACAAGCTGCTTCTTTTATGACTGTACCAAAGATATACAGGTTTCTTGTTTTCCTACTGAAACTTACTTATTTCCCACAGTAAAATTTCTTTTAATTATACTTATTTATTTTTGCAATTTTTAAATTAGTTTCAGGTGTACAAAACAATGCACTAGCCAGACATTTCACCCCCCACAAAGTGACAATCCCCTTACCCCAATCTACTGCCCCGCTGACATCGTACATAGCTATTACAATTCCATTGACTCTATTCCCTATTCTGAACTTCATATCCTGTGACTATATATATATATTAAATTATAGTTAACATACAATATTGTTTAGTTTCAGATGTACAACACAGTGGTCAGGCATCTACACCATCTATGAAGTGGTCTCCCTAAGAAGACATGTGCCCATTTGACACCCTTCAAATTCTTTATAACATTATTGATTATATTCCCCAAACTGTCTTTCATATCCCTGTGGCAATATTGTAGTTGCCAATTTGTGCTGTCTAATCCCCTCCCCTTCTCCCTCATCCCCACCTCCTCCCAACTAGCAACCATCAGTTGTTCCTCTATATCTCTGAGACTATTTCTGTTTACTTTGCTCATTCATTCAGTTTTTAGATTCCACATATAAGTGAGATCATATGGTATTTGTCTTTCTCTGACTGACTTACTTCACTTAGCATAATGTTCTCTAGGTCCATCCATATTGTTGCAAAAGGAAAGATTTCAGTCTTTATAGCTGTGTAATACTCTATNCAAATCAAAACCACAATGAGATTATCACCTGGCACCTGGCAGAATGGTTATTTTCAAAAAGAGAAAAAATTGCTAGTTCCCCTCCACTCCTGTAAAAACCATTGCCAACCTTCCCATTGCCTTGAAAATCTCCTTTAAAGCTTTTTGGATTGCTTTATTTTTTTCACTGAAGTTTTCTCTTGGTAAAATTCTTTCAAAAATTTTCCCAGCTCCAAACATAAGTTACATGTAGGTATTTCTCAAGGTTCTATCTTCAGACATCTCTTCCTGCCCTAACAATGTTCCGTGATAAATTCTGATTCCCATGGCTTCATGTCTCACAGTTGTGCTGCTACTTGTCAAATACTTTTTAAATCTAATATATACCTGAATTATCTGTATTTAAGTAGTCCAAATTCTTACTAGACATTTCCAAGTAGATATTACATGGATACTCCCAATAAATATTATTCCATGGGTACCTCAAATTAATATCTCAAATTGATCTCTTCCCCTCCCCACCATCAAAAATAAAACCCATAGTCTCTTCCTTTTGACTTTCACATTTTGATTAATGCAACATCATCCATACACCATTTATAACATGATTCAAGAGTTGTAGGAGAATGAGATGGTATAATAGCTGATGTGTATGAGAACATCATATGGAGTGTATATTGCAGTGGTTACAAAAAAACCCCAGAAAACAAGCTGATAACTGCTGACTCACAGTCCCTGTATACAGGTACCATTAACACTTGTAGTAAATGCCACTTGTAGTTTCTACTTAGTATGAATGCAGTTAATTTATTTTTAGCCTTCATATTCATACAAAGTTGGCTATTCAACTTTGGCATTAGACTCGGCCTTTAAAGTGCAAATCATCAAATACCAACTTCAACATCAATTCTCACATCCCTGAACTTGTACATGATAACAATGTTTTTTAAATCTACTCAGTGTCATNCGTAGGGAGTCTGGGGCCAGCCTAGTGGCTCAGTTAAGAATGCGAGCTCTGAGCAACAGGGTCACCGGTTCGATTCCCACATGGGCCAGTGAGCTGCGCCTGAGATGAGCTGCAGCTGAGCTGCCAAAAGGTGGCAGGGATGGGTCAGCTGGTGAGAGCACGGGCTTCTAACAACAAGGTTGCCAGTTCGACTTCTGCATGGGATGGTGGGCTATGCCCGCCCACAACTAAGATTGAACATAGCACCTTGAGATAAGCGACCACGAGTTGCTGATAGGCAGCCAGATGGCGACTGGACTTGGAGCTGAGCTAGCTGTGCCCTCCACAATTAAGACTGAAGAACAACAACTTGGCTGTTCCCCTTCTCCAATTCCCCAACACTGTTCCTCTTCCCCACTTCCCCAATAAAAATCTTAAAAAAAAAAGCAGAGAGTCTGGCTTGACCTCCCAAGTCTGATTGCAGCCCTGCCTTAGGTGTCCTAATCTAAAGGGGCTTCATTTTACTGTGTTTGGACCTCCCTTTTTTGGACAGCCTAAGGCAGAGCTGTGTGAAGCAGTTGCAGCACCTTGTAGCCACCCTCTGCTTCCTGTGTCTGGTTTTTCCTAATGTTCCGCTGGGGCTGCTATTCTGGAGGCCTGGGATAGGGGCAGGGCTTCTCCACCATGGCCTGAGTCTGTGGCTGACAGGCCTGAACTCTGTGCTGGGTCCAGAAGTGGCGATCCTGTGCTTCAGGATGGGTCCGGGAGTGATGGTCCTCAACTTCCAGCAGGCTGGAGGACTAGCAGGCTTTTTGCCCTTCTGCCCCAACTCGTAGTTTTCGTGGTGCTGCTCGGACTGTTGGAAGCTAGAGCACTCTGGCTGCACCTCTGGAGCTGTGTCAGGACTCTGGTCAGTAGAATTGTAGGGTTTGACATGGACAGTTTAACAATGGAATTTAGGCTTTTTGCATTGAGGATCAGATACGCGGCCATGATGTGGTTGAAAGACTTGTTGGTCAACGCGTCCTGGATGCCATCATATCACAAGCTTAGCTTTGCCATCTCCTTTTTGACCCAGGGGTCTATGTTCTCCTTGGGTGGCTCAATAAAGGGCATGAGGTCCTCCTCCTCATCCTGATTGAGCCACGGGTCTGACATGATGCTTATTAAATCTCCTGTCTTCTGGGTCTTCAGAATTAGCATTTTTTAACAAAATGCTTCTATTTCAAAGAATAAAAAGTAGGGTACGGTGTACTTCCCCTTTAATACTTGCCAGCACAGCTTCTTCCAGTCCTCTCTTGAAAGGGGGGGGGGGTCCCCGTGACCATCCTGTACAGCATGACGCCCAGACTCCAAACATCCCCGCAGGATCTTCATAATCTTTGCCCAGTAACAGTTCAGGAGCAGCATAGCAGGGGCTGCAACACATTGTCTTGAATTTGCTGTTGCTGAATTCCACGCTAAATCCGAAGTCAGCTATCTTCAAGTTCATTTCACCATCAAATAAGATGTTCTCCGGCTGTAGGCCCCTGTGAGCAATTCTGCGCTGATGTCAATAGTAAACAGCTGATACTGTTTTCGGGCAGATGCACCAGGCCTTCTCCTCCTCCATGTGGCCATGGAATTTTACATAGTCCAGCAGGCTTCTGCCAGTCAAGTGCTCCATGACAAGGAGGAAGAACTCTTTGGTGTCAATAACTTCATACAGCTGCACTATATTAGGGTGCTGCAGTGCTTTCATGCACCGGATTTCTTGCAGGAAAAACCTGTGGAGGCTGGCGAAGCCCTTCAGTTTTACGATTTTTACAGCCACCTTTGTCCCAGTGGGAAGGTGCTCACTCAGCTTCACCTTGGCATAGCTGCCATCACATATGGTCTTCAGAAGCCTGTAATGACCACTAAGGAGCTCCTGGTCGGCAGAGGTGGCTGGATGTGCGTGTGCCACGGTGGCCAGCTAACTGCACTCACTGACAATACTAACTCTGCTCACCACGCTTACTAACTATGCTAATAAACAAAAATTATACTAACAACGCTGACTAAATATACTAACTATATCAACAAAATTATTAACTATGCTAATAAACAATAACTATACTANCTGACTTACTTCACTTAGCATAATGTTCTCTAGGTCCATCCATATTGTTGCAAAAGGAAAGATTTCAGTCTTTATAGCTGTGTAATACTCTATTGTATAAATGTACCACAGTTTCTTAATCCAGTCGTCTACCGATGGGCATTTCGGTTGTTTCCATGTCTTGGCTATTGTGAATAGCGCCGCAATAAACATAGGGGTGCATATATTTTTTTGAATTAGCATCTTAGATTTCTCTGGATAGATACATAAGAGTGGAATTCTCAGTACACTTTTATTCATTTAAAAAGAAGCAGGTGATAGAGGAAGGCTCATCTGGTTTGATATCCATAGATGATTACCTTCTAGCTGTGTATAAATCAGTCTGTTGGTAAATCAATATTTGCATGAGGAACGAATCATAATCTGCCTGACTTTGAGACTGTGAGGTAGCTACAAATAAAGCAAGGCAGTGGAAAGAACAGAAGAGTATAAATTGGCCTGTGGTCATTTCCCCGTTTCTGCCAATTTCCTGTCAACTTCCATTTTAGCAGACTGACACCATGTTATAAACAGTGATTAAGTCTTCACAATGGAAACTGATTTATTGGGTTTCTTATTAATCCCTCTTCCATGCCTCTGCTTCCTTTCCCCTATATTCTAGATAACCTGTTTTTGTTGCACCTCCTTCCCTGTCTTAGTTTTTACTTCTTGTTTCTTCCCCCAGAGTGTGAATCTATTCAATTAATAAAAAAAAATGTATTGGGTATCTATTTTGTGTTCAGTTCTACATAGAGTCTCAGATTAACACGAGCACAAGTAAAAATAAAACAAGCAAAACAAAAAAACCACAGGTAATGGTAAAGGAGAAACAAACAAACAGAAAATGAACTCCTACACAATTAGATTTTCCTCTTGAAACAAGGAGGTTAGTGAAGAAAGAGCACTGGGTATACTAAAGTTTATAAGGAATGACTTCTCAAAAAGTGAGTGAGGAGCTGTGTCTGAACATGAAGGATTTGGCTGGGAGAGAGGTGGTGATGGTGAGTTTTCAGTATGATTTTTAGGCAGGATTATGTTGCATACGCTATGAGGACAGTAGGAGGTGATACATGAGTTCAGAGGGTTTGGGGATGAACACAGGGGGGGAGCCCTGTGGGCCTTTCCATTGTTAAGTACCAGGTTAATTTATCAGCTCCTAATTAGACTCTATTTGTTTCTTCTATATAGGAGGCTACAGAAATTCAGCCTAGCTTCCTTTCCTGTTTAAAGGCACTGTCACCTATTCCATCATTTGGTTATTTCTTCAAGCCTTCATATGAAGTTAGTTGTGAGTCCCCTGGCCATTTTTCCTAGCTGCCCCAGAACATAAATACTTTTATAGAAAGAGTTTAATTGCTAATCATGACAGAGAAATTGACAAAACATACAATAGCTATTGTGAGGAAGTTGAAAACAAATCTGAAATAAAGTTCTTCGAGCCTTCTACCTTACTCAGTATTTCCTATCTTCTATCTAGAAAATGGAGGAGTAGGGGTTACCATTCATTCATTCAACAAAATTGTGAGCAACTGAAAACACATACACATAAGAAAACAACTAGAAATAAAAGTCTTGCTGAGAAACCACAGCAACATGATTGACAACAGCTGAGTGGTTACTTTAGCATAACTAGTCAGGGAAGTCCTCTCTAAGAAGGTAACAGTTTAGCTGAGTTCTTACAAGGAGCCATGTAAAAACCAGTGGGTAGTGCAGACATGTACTTCCAAGCTTGGTGTGTTGGGACAACGGAAAGAAAGCCGGTGCTGCTAATCTCTTGTAATCAGTGCTATGTTGTTTTTATCCTCTCAAAACATATTTTTCTCCTTCATTCCTATATCATAATTTCCATACAACTTCTACATTTTTCAGGCTTCTACTTTTGAAACTAGTAAAAGCTTCTAATTGAAAATTTTCATATAAACCAAGGCATGCACTTCTGTGATGCAAAAACTTTTGGAATCAAACTTGTATAGTAGTTAAGCAATCAAAAACATATGTTATTAGCCTCCTATAAACTTGCAAGTTGCTTATTCCTTCTATTCCCTCATTTCTTCTTGAAAGAAAATGCCAATGCTATCCTAAAAAAATAAATCATACAATGTTGAAAGATGCTCTAATAATATATATTGGATATTAAATCAAAGAAATTCCATGGCAAAATAAGTGACATTGAAAAGTACCTCTTTAAAAAAAAAAGACATTTCAATCTTTTAAAGTTCTAAACTATTAGAACTAATAAATTCATCCAGTAAAGCTGCAAGACACAAAATATAAATAAATCAGTGGTTTTTTCTTATCTACTAATAATGAATTACCATAAAGAAAAATGAAGAATACAATTCTATTTACAATTGCATGAAAAAATAAAGTACCTAGGAATAAATTTAACCAAGCAGACAAAATACCTGTACTTTGAAAACTATTAAGACACTAATGAAAGTGAAGAAGATACAAGTAAATGGAAGAATATAGCATGCTCATACATTTGAAGGATTAGTATCATTAAAATGTCCATCCTTCCCAAAGCAATCTACAGATTCAATGCAATCCTTATCAAAATACCAATATGTTTTTCACAGAATTAGAACAAATAATCTAAAATTTATGTGGAACCACAAAAGACTCAAAATAGCCAAAGCAATCTTGAGAAAGAAGAACAAAGCTGGAGGTATATCACACTCCCTAATTTCAAACGGTATAACAAAGCTATAGTAATCAAAACAGTATAGTACTGGCACAAAAACAGACATATAGATCAATAAGAGAAAAGAAAGCCAAGAAATTATCTCTTGCTTATATGCACAATTAATCCACAACAATGGAGGCAGGAATATACAATTGACAAAAGACAGTCTCTTTAATATTATAAATGGTGTTGGAAAAACTGGACAGATAAATGCAAAAAATGCAATTAGACCACTTCCTTACATCGTATACAACAATAAACTCAAAATGGGTTAAAGACTTAAATGTAAGACCTGAAACCATAAAACTTTTAGAAGAAAACATAGGCAGTAAATTCTTTGACATTGGTCTTAGCAACAAATAGGACGCCATTGAGGAAAGATGGTGCCTGCTTGCTGGCTGCTTGGGAGGAAGACCCTTCATGGAGAAAATGCTGTCTTCCAGTCCTCCCTCTGCAGCCACACACTTCAGTCTGCCCCCATATGTCTCCAAAACCCTCCGAGTCACNAATGATGGATGTTCAACGTTTCTGCAATCTCTCATGTCGTGTAACATGAGTTTTACTCGAACAATGCCTTTATTTTGTCGTCATCAACCTCGTTGGGCCTCCTTGACCGAGGATCATCTTTGAGATCAAAATCACCAGCACGGAATTTCGTGAACCATCATTGGCACTGACGTTCTTATAGAGCATTGTCACTATGAACTTGCAACTTTTCACAAGCTTGACGAGTGTTCTTCCCTTTATGGAAGTAAAACAGTAAAATATGGCAAAAATGCACAGTTTGGTCCTCATCTTCAAATTGTTGTAAAATCTCTAAAACTCAACCAAATCGCTCAATGTTTTTTTTAGAATGAAGCTAGAAATGTCAGCTGTCAAATGACATAGGAATAACATAGATGCAAATGACTCTAGTACTTCCCAAAATGAACTAGTGCCATCTGTTGCAAACATGTGTCACGGTTTTCCCGAAGACTTACTATTAACTATCCTGTACCCACCTATGTGAAAGAAGTAACTGTCTCTCCAATCTACTTTTATCCAATCCCAGAGATTTCCCTGCTTTGCTTTCTCCCACCCCCTTAACTATCACCAATGGATTTCATGTAACTCTCCTCTTTTGATTCTATGTATAAAATAAGCTGCAAACTGCCATTTCGTGGAGCATTTTCTCTATCTGTTGAGATTTTGCTTCCTGGCAATTGTCGTCAGTTTGGCTGAAATAAACTCTTATAAGTTTTCTCTTAGGCTGGATGTTTTTCATTGACAGGCTATAGAGAAGAATAAGAATAGAAACAGAGTCCAGTTTGGAGATTATTGTACTGGCTTGAACTAGGGCAGAAGTAGCGAAAA